TAAGCTCTCTCTGTCAGAGCGATTGTGTTCAAGCTGTAAGTTCAATGTTGATGATTCAGTTTTACTGCTCACGAGATGTCCAGCACTGAGTTTTTACATATTGTGTAAAGGTTTTGCTTAAGGATGTAACAGGGTTGTTTCACCAGTATGCAACATACCGTTTAACTGATTGGTTTTCTCCCAGTTCTGTATCATAAATCTCGATCGGCAGCACTTTGTTCAACAGCTTTTTTCATTTTCTGTTGAAGTCTTTGTTTTAGGTGTGAAAGATATATTTCTTGTTCTGTATCAAATGTCCCAGACAACCAATGGCTTTCTTTTATATTTCTGTTCATTGTCCCCATGGAGATATATGTCCCTTCTTTTAAATCTCTTGTGTACACGATTGGTTTGATTTTTGCACTAAAAATGTTTGATTTTGCTTTAACTATCCAACTTATCAAAAGTACTGGCTTTTATTAAGATAAATATTTTATATTCTTTGTTTTTTTTTCTGAATGTGTATATTTGTGATATGGTGTCTTTTTCCCAGACTGAAGTATTTTTTGATAGCTGTGTATATATTGGATATAAAAAGGTTAGTTCTTTGTACTTATTGTCAAGAAACCACTGAAATGTACTTAAATTGTTCTCAACCTAGAAACATACAGCATCTATCACTAAGTGATTTGTGTTTCTAAAAATATTTTGACAAAATATTAGTCATTAAGCCACAAACTGTGCCTTACACTCATATAGAGAAGATTAGACTGTATTTGGAAAAAGTACCAAAACATTTGCGTACTGTATCTTAGCAACATCACAACCCAAACAAGGTTTCTTGTAAATAGATTTGTACAAATTTAAATTTCAACATACAGGAAAGTGTTCTCTCCTGTGATACAGCTCGTTCCCTTTTATTTTACTGTTCATGAATTTAGTTTTGCTCGTATGAATATGTGTACATTTTCAATAAAGATTATTTTGATAACTGGAGTTAATCATCAAGCCCACAGTTATGCTTCCTCTGTTTGTGCTCAGTTTCTAGAACAGTGGTGGAGAAAAGTCTCCCTCTAGTGACGTTTGACTTTATTGATAAGTAATGTTATGGTGACAGTGGAGTTGCCACAACACCTTAAGTGTACAGTATCCAGGCCTGAAACCAGGAAGTTAAATATAATAATATAATAAATGTACAATAAGGCAGAAGTTTAATCATTAACTAAGCAGTTAAGATGAAGGACTTTGTACCAATTAACTATTTTTATTGGATTAAAATGACCAGGTAGCAGAGTTGTTGTCTATAACATGACTGAGGAACATTTACAGGCACTATACTGTGTCTTCATAACTTTTCTAAATCTATGTGGTGCTCAACTGTAAAATATTTCCTGTGCTTTTGTTGACAAGGAAGAATTATTTTGAAGATTCTGCTACATTGTGAGTGTTATGCTAATAAAAACAAGGAAGTTACAGCAAGGTCAATAATTTGCTACTGATTAAGTATGCCTCCATATGGCACAGGTTGTATATCTATCTGAACACAGACATAGCAGAGGGTTGGTTCCTTCAACAGAATCATAAAAATAAATTACCTTTTACGAATCACACCATGCTGTAGATAAGAATACTTGTTTTCATATTAAACTACTTTGATTTACACACTTAACATTAACAAACCAGTTTCTGCCTTTCACAGGGGTTTGGCTTGAAAGACATTTCTCTTTTTGAACTGAAAATATAGCACGAAAATTTAATCAGCTTTATTCTATCGCGAGTACTGTTACTGTAAGTGTTCATTTAGAGGTCATATAAGGTAAGCCCTTGTGTTAAAAGCATGGACATTCAGTTTCAGTGATTTGAGTGATGATCTGCAACACATCAAATCAAATTTGTCCACATATTCATCATATTGGAGTTGTTTTAGTCTCCTAATCCAGAACAAAAAGGAAGTAAAATGAGATAAAAATTGTAGCAAAGATAAAAGATATAATGCAGGGTTTCACTGTGGGAAGTTGAAGAAATAAATACATTTGAACAGCAGCAACAATGAAAAGTTCATTGTGAGCTTACGTAAACAGTATTAAACAGGGCGGTTCACACAGGAATAGCAAATATTTATTAAAGCTGCAAGCAGCGATGAACAGGCCCTCACACTCCACTCAACTCGGGGTGTGCTGCAGCCGCGCCACGTGCCATCGTAACCTGAAATTGTGCACGATGCCTAAGGAAGACACGGGGAACTATGGACCCAAGCTTGGTGTCAATCGGACATACCAATGTGGAGAAATGGTCCACTTCCTTTTTTGACGAA